TGACAAGTGGTGTTCTATTGTTGGTTTTCTTGGGTCTGTCTTGAAGTAGATGGTTTCTAGGTATTCGTCTGGCTCTTTCAGTTTGCTTTTTTATTTCTCCGGGTGGGTAGTTGAGGTTTATAAATGCTTGGTAGAGATCCTGAAGTTTCTGGTCTCTATCAGTGGGATTAGAGCAGATGCGGTTGTATCGAAGGGCTTGGCTATAGATGATGGATCATATGGTGTGTTCTGGATGGGAGCTGGAAGCATGTAGGTAACTGTACGAGTCAGTGGGTTTTCTGTAGAGGGTGGTGTCTAATTTTCCATTGTTGATTTGTACTGTGGTATCCAGGAAATGGATCTCTCGTGTACAATGGTCCAGGCTGAGGTTGATGGTGGGGTGTAGGTTGTTGAAATATCTGTGGAATGTCTCCAGTGTTTCTTGGCCATGCATCCAGATCATAAAGATGTCATCGATGTAGCGTAAGTAGAGAAGGGGTAAAAGGGGTCGGGAGTTGAGGAAACGTTGTTCTAGGTCAGCCATAAAGATATTAGCATACTGTGGGGCCATGCATGTACCCATGGCTGTGCCGCTGATCTGGAGAGTAATTTGAAGTAATTACTTTACTTTTCAGAGTAATTACTTTACTTTTCAGAGTAATTTGAAGTAATTACTCCCCAGTGCTTCCTATGGCTCTAAGTTGAAGTAGCATGTCCATATTAACAGATTCTGCCTCAAACTAATTTCAAGGCTTCGCCATAGTGAGAATACACTATTTTGATTTTGTTATTTCAGGTAGGGGATGTTAAGTTTAGATTACTTGGCTAATCAAATAGTTGATGCAATTTACATCAACTATTCAATTAGTCGATAAGGTGCCTCTACCACACTTCAAAGGCGAAAAGCGCTGGGGGGGGGAGCACAGAGCCAGTTGGGGACTCAAGCAGTCCCCTATTGGCCCCATGCTCCCCACGGCATTTCAAAGCAGCAGCGCCGCATGGAGCCCAGGGTCAGCGGGGAAATTCTCAGCTAACCCTAGGCTCCACATGGTGCTGCTGCTTACTGATAGAGGCAACTGCTGTGTCGACTATGGCAACTACTGTGTCAACTAGATTTTCACATCCTTAATTTCAGGAGTTATTATTTTGAATTTATCATAGAATACTAGGACTGGAAGGGACCTCAAGAGAATTTAATTATTTCAAAATAATTTCCTAGTGTAGACATGCTCTCAGTAAATCTACTTCAAAGTTCTCTGCCTTTGCACTTGGTTTACTCTTTCTATATACTGAATACTTTCTCTCAAAGCCATTTATATTTCATTACTACTTA